CGGGCAACTACGTGTGATGCTTGTGTTCTCGAAGACGGCTGTGCGACTGCATGAACTCACCTGCTGATCGTTTCTGGATGGGCTGGTGGGGATACGAGAAGCGTCAAGAATTCATTGAAGCAAATACACCCACCGCACCGTAATTCACCCTCTTATTGGGCCCTTCCTGGGGCCTTCTCGGGGCACCCCCCTATGTGGACGTCATCCTCATCCTCCTCCGCCTCCTCGTACCCGTGCCTCAGGAAGCCCTCGAGTTGGCGACGACGCATGATTAGGAGGGTATAGTGGCAATGCATGGTGACACAATGGAAACCACTATCGATCTCAATATCGGTCGGACTATCGATCCCTGACGATATCACTATCGATATCACTCGATCCATCTCACTATCGGTACGCCTATCGATTGATACCACGATCGATCTTGCAATCGATCTCAATATAGATCGCAATATCGATCGATCTCACTAGCGATCTCACGATCGTCTCATTCAACCGGTCTCACTATCGATCGATCTCACTACCAATATCTCTGTTGACCCCCAAACCGACCCCACAATCGATTCAACGATCGCTCGATCTCCCCATCGGCCCCACGATCGGTATCAATATCGACCTCACTATCGATCGATTCCCATTTCGACCTCACTACCAATCTCACTCGCACTGTGGCTCAAGTTGCCACTTCCGAGGGTTAAAACTGAGGCCTCAGTTTTAACCCTCAAGCGGGCCAGGTCACCGAAGGCCATGGCGCCGTTTGTGGACGTACGCTGTCCTTTCATCTGATCGCTCCTGATCGCTCCTCCTCCTCCTCCTCCTCCTCCTCCTCCTCCTCCTCCTCCTCCGCCTCCCCCCCCTCCTCATCCTCCTCCTCCTCCTCCTCCTCCTCCTCCTCCACCTCCCCCCATCAACCCCCTCATCCATCCCCCTCGGAGGGAGGGGGCAGGGGCAGTCCAAAACGTTGTCGATCGTGCTGTAGATCCACTCGTGCACAACGGGGCGCACGTACACCTATCGGGGGAGGGGGGGTCGCTTGATCGATTCATCATGTTATCCGCTCCTCCCCGATCGCGCCATCATTACATCCTTCCGCCAAGCCTCTTCCCCCTTTCCCTCCTTTCTCCCAGCCCCTTCCTCCTTCCCTCCTCGGCCTCCTCGTTAAACCCAGATCGGAGGGAGACGACGACGATGACAACGACGACGAACCATAATCAAAAAAGGCTGGCCTTGAAATCGTCGATGCACTTGGCCAGGGACATGGTGATCGTCGGCGGCGGCGTGGGCGGCTCGCCCTTGACCTCAAAGTCCAGGTCGCCCTCGAACTCGGACCTGATGACCACCTCCTGGCCGACAAAGTTCATGAGCACCATCGGCTTGGACTCGGCGTCGGTGGCGCGCGGCTTCAGGATGCACCCGACTGTGTAGCCCATGGCCTTGGCCCCGTCCACGCTGATGGACGCACCTGCGAACTCGCGCATGCCACTGGCGCTGGCGTTGGAGTCCATGGCTTGAACCCTCGAGGCGCCGTCGACGGAGAAAGGCGGGTCCATCGACCTGGCGCTGGGATGCAGCTGGTACAACTCCTGCAAGAACATGACCTGGACGCCCTTCAGCGTATCGTAGTGCTGCCTGCAGCGCGACTTCTTGCCGTGGATGCTCATGACTGCGCGAGTCTCCATCGACGCGACCAGCTTCACACGATCAGACTTTGGGATCTCGGGGAAAGCCTTCACGAATGCGGCAGCTGCGCGGGCCATGCACGCGGCCTCGATGCACTTCACTTTGTTTTTTCCGATGATGGTCTGGATATCGCTCGATGCCAGCAGGGTCGACTCGCCATCGCGCGTGAAGTGGTCTGGCGAACACATCATCGCCTTCACGCACGAGGTGACGTACTCAGCCCCCTGCGAGAACTCCAAGCTAGCCAACGCCCTCCACACGGGGCCCTTGATCTCACGGCGCACCGTCAGGCTCGACGCGAACTCCTTCAGCTCCGCTAGAAATGGGGCTGTCGAACCGCCACTCCATTGGCGGACGTATGCGCACAGGTCGATCGCGATGCCCTTGGCCGAGGGAACCTTGTTCACCTCCCTCGCGATGTAGTCCCAGCGGGAGTCGCCGTGCTTCTGGTAGTTGGCAATCGCCATCTGGTGTATTTGGCACAACAACTGAATCTGCGTTTGCTGCCTCTCCGTTCCGTGCTTGGCGTTGCCAGCGCGCTGGAGAAATTCTGGCAACGTTGGGCACACCTGCTCGATCTCCTCCCTGATGATGGTGAAGTGCATGCCTCGGTCGAGCGGCACAGCGTAGGTCGGGCAATAGGCCAAGACCTTCTCGCGAGAAAGCCTGCCGTCCTCCGTGCACAGCGCTGCGACGTGGCTCTTGCATCTGTGATGCACGCACCTGCTGCCAGCAAGCGTGTGGGAACCACCGACCGTCAGGTACTTGACCTTATGGGGCTCCGACGGGGCAAGCAGTTCGCCCGAGCGGGCCACGAGATCCACCTTCAGTGGAAGGGAGGTGCCACGAGTGCCCATTGGAGTCCAGGACGCTGCAGGGCACATGGTTAAACTCTGCCCGACAGCATACCAGACATCCAACAGGCGCCCGTGGCCCGCCCTGCCACCTGGAACTGCAGCTGCTTTGCCCTAGTCTGCGGGTCTTCGCTGAGCTCGAACGCCGTCGCTCCAGCGGCTGCGTCGTCGCACCATCCCTTGTTGGCGATCAGCTGCAAGAGATCGTGCACGTCCATCGGCTCAAGGCCCATGGTGTAGCGGTTCTCTGGATGAGGCGCGAACGCCTCCTTATCTTCCGTCACCTCGTAGGCGAAGTCCGACTCCAGCAGGAGTCTCTTGATCTGCTGAGCCGTCGCCATCTCCTGCTTCGTCGTCACTCTGGGGTCGTCCATGGGCGCGAGCAGCGCCATCACCTTCTTCTGCACATTCTGAAGGTTCTGCTCCATCTCAGCTGACAGCGGCATCCTGGCGATACCCAGCGTCCGAGATGGAGACCACGCTGAAAGCAAGATCCACTGTAGGCCCGAGCCAAAACGGCAACCCACGAGGGGGGCGGCAAATGGGAAAGGTGGAATGCCCAAGACGAGGGCCTCATCCTCTTCACCCTCTTCCTTCACCCTCCTCTCTGCTCCCTGCCTGCTCCTTCTACTCCTCCTCCTTCACCTTCTCCTCCTCCTCCTCCTCCTCCTCGCCCTCCCTTTCCTCCTCCGCTAACCTTACTTACAACCTACATGAAGTAACTTGGCGATCCTACTTCGCAAGATATGATAACCACATGGAGAACCAGCTTCCGTTGGTCACCGACTTAGCTATTCAAGTTATCCTATTCACTCCTATTTGGGCCTACATCGCGTGCTTACAAGTTGTATCACACACATACAAACCGCTTGCAATCCGTATACAACTGATCTGGATCACCCTGAACCATTTAGTAACCAGGGCGGTTTTCCAAGTGGGGCTCGTCCTGGGGCTCTCTTGGGCTGTCTTGGGGCCTCTCGGGCCGTCTTGGTACCCTCTTGGGGTCGTCTTGGAGCCCTCTTGGGTGCCTGTGGGGCAGTCTGGGGGGCATCTTGAGCCGTCTTGTACGCAGTGGAAGCCCAAGAGGCGAACACGCCAAACATATCTGTTTTCCAATAGGAAATCGACAATTTTTGCGCCAAAAGTATCAGTTTTCCCATCGGGAATCGACGATTTGTGCTTATTGGCGCTCTCTCAGGGTGCCTCTTGGGGCGTCTTTGGAGCCTTCGGGGGCCTTCTTGGCGTCATGGGAGTCGTCTCGAAAGGCGTCTGGAGCCATCGCTGCAGCCTCCTGGGGCCTCTCTGCAGCCTCTTGGGGCCCTGTTGGCCCCGGGTCGCTGAAACCCTTTAAAAACACAGGGAAAATGACGCCCGAGCCCCCACATTTGTGGTCGAGGCGCCGGCCCCCGGCCCCCGGACCCAGTCCCCCGTTGGCTCTCCTAGGCCGTCTTGGGACTGTCCTAGACCGTTTTGGGGCGTTCTTGGGCGCCTCTTTGGGCCTTTTAGGGGCTCTTCCAAAAGTATATGTTTTACGAAAGGAATGGAGCCAGTTTTGTCGCCCGGGGCTCTCTTGGAGGGCCTCTTGAAGCCTTCTTGGGGCGTCTTGAGGGCCTCGTGGCCCTTCTGGAAGCCATCTTGGGCCGAATCGGAGCGCTCCTGGGGCCCTCTCGGGGCGACTGGGAAGTCTCTTGGGCCATCTTGGGCGGACTGGGAGGCCCGGGGGGCCCTCCTGGGCCGTCTTGGGGCTGTCTCAGCCGTTTTGGGGCGTCCTTGGGCGCCTCTCAGGGCTTTTTGACCGCTCCGATGTCCAAGGGAGCTGATACCCTAAAAACGTACGTTTTACGAAGGGAATGGGGCCATTTTGGTCTCCTGGGGCGCTCTTGGGGGGCCTCTTGGCGGCCTCTTGGGGCGGCTTGAGAGCCTCTTGGCCCTTCTGGAAGAGATCTCTGGCGGTCTTGAAACGATCCTGGGGTTCTCTCGGCGCTGTTGGAGCCTTCGTGGGCGGGCTGGAACGCGCGGGGGTCGCTGGAGGGGCGTTCCGGGAGGGGGCCAGTACCTATGTACAAGGGGGGTTCCAGCCCAGGGCCCAGGGCCCGGGAACTCCAATATATGTATATGCGTGCATGCATGCATGCATGCATGCATGCATGTATGTATGTATGTATGGATGAATGGATGGATAGATGGATGCATGCATGTATGCACGTATGCATGTATGCATGTATGCATGCATGTGTGTATGCATGTATGCATGCATGAATGCATGTATGTGTGTATGTAGATATGTAAGTATGTATCTGTACTATATATCTATATATATATATATATATATATATATATATATATGTGTGGGAGTGTGCACGTTGTGCGTATTGTGGGCATACATGTACGCGCACAGGTACATGCATGCAAATGCTCATGCGCGATAAGCATATCAACAGGAAGTCTGCGACTGCCGCGGGCCACCGTCACAAGCAGCCAGGCGATCATCGTACCGAAGCTGACTCCGTTTGACCTGTGGCTCATACTGTGGATTCTCTTGCAGACGCACCCTGCTATGACTGAGATCCCTCGCCACTGCCAGCTACTGCTCATTACCAGCGCTCTGCAAGTAACGCCCTTCACCCGCACCCATTCACGAAGAGCGATTGAGCGATTGCACGCAGACCAATAAATTCAGACCTCGGACTAGCCTCCTACCACCTGGAACAGAGCCAGCAGCAAAGAAGAACGCTCGACCGTCGCCATCCCTACCATAATACGCTCAAGTCACCCGCACCCCTCCGAGGCACCATCCCAGCGTCTCCCGAGCGGCGTCTTGCTGTGTTGACGAGGGGGGCCGAGGGAAGAACAACCTCTTCCAGGGGACGCATTCGGACTGCCCGAGAACCCTGACAGCCCCCACGGACGCCATGCCCTCTGTGTGATGCCCACGAGACGGCGCTCCGATGGGCCCCCAAAGGGCACACGACATGGCGCCGACTGCATGGCTGGCGACGCTAACGAAGTCGAGGTCTCCTCTAGATGCCCGTAAGACGGCGCTCCTCTGGAACCCCGTGGCTGCACGCTCGGCAGGCATACGAGGAAACAAGATCTCGCTTGGCTGCCCGTCATACAGCGCTCCTCTGGCGCCCCTACCTCCCCCCCAAAAGGACGCAGCAGGTGGCGGCAGCTGCACAGCTGGCATGCCTGCAGTACGGCGCTTTGCTGGACCCCCGAGGGGCACGGGAAGTGGCGAGAGCTGCACGGTTGACGTCACCCAAGAAAGCGGAGCTTGAATTGCATCCGTCTGGGTGATCCGTTCCACAGTGCTCCCTTGGACCCCGCGCGCCTGTGAAACAGCGTTCCGCTGGATCTCCAGGGACCCGGAAGTGTAGTGACAAGTGCCTGCATTGCGACAGCGACGAAGAGAGGCCCCATGTTTGAGCGCCAGAGGAACGAGATGGCGCCCCACTGCTGGACCTCCAAGGGCGCAGGAAGTGTCGGCAACCGCACGGTTGGTAACACCAATAGGGGTCAAATCTCAATTGTGTTCAGCAAGGTCGTGCCGTGACAACCTGCGCGCTGGTTTCTGACACCACGTGGATCGAACTACCTTTCACGATCGCGGCTTCCCGAAAGCGCATGTCGTCCGATGTCGACCGATTCCGAGCCACTGCCGGCGCTCAACCTAGAACGCCCGCGCCAGGGTCGCCGCCGCGTCGACACGCCACGAGCCTGCCGTACACCTGAGACGGCTCTCCGCTGAACCCCGAAAAATGCAGGAAGCGGCAGCAACTGCAAAGCTAACAGCACCCAAGGAAGGAGAAGTCTCCTTTCGGGGGCCCCCAGGACGGCGCCCCGCTGGAGCCCCCACAGGCCCCAGGAAGCGTCGGTGGGCGCCTCGTGGGCGCCTCGTGCGCAGGGCGGCCGCCGCATAGATTCTCCTTTCTAAAAGGAAAATAAACTATACCCCCCCCGGACTTATCGGTTCCCCTTTCGGGTATGTAAAACATATATGATTCTGACCACTCGGCCATCTTAAATATGAAATCATACCATCCCAGCCAGGCCGGGTTCCCTCCCCCTGAGGTTCCCTTGTGAAAAACACTATGCGGTGACTTTTCTTGTTCTAACATAACACTGTTTTACAAATCCCTTGCAAAAAACGAGACGAAGTGCACACACGCGCGCGTCGTCGCGCGCGCATGCCGAAATCCTTCAAAAACCTTCGGTGCCGGAAGGATTTCGCAATCGAGTTTTAAAACAAAAAACATACACAAACACAGGATTTCGCAACACTGATTTGCTAAAAAAACTTCCGCGCGAGCTCTTGCGAAATCTTAAGAAAACCATGGGTTCTTCAGGATTGTCACAAATGCTACCAAACGGGCTTCGCGCGCGCGCATGTCGAAATCTGTCGAACGCCCTTGCGCGTGTGCCGTCGCGAGAATCCTCCGCAAAAAATGGGACGAAGTGCAGACGCGCGCGTCGTCGCGGGCGTATGCCGAAAACCTTCAAAACCCATCGGTTTCGGAAGGATTTCAAAATCGTGCGTCCAAAAAAGCTAGACAAACCTAAGGTTTCGCAACACGGATTTTCTACAAAAGCGTGCGCGCGCGCGCTCTTGCGTCGTCGTCGTCGTCGTCGCCGTCCTCCCTCCTCCCGCGTCGTCGTCGTCGTCGTCGTCGCCTACGTCGTCCTCTGTCTTTTCTCGTGTTCGTCGTCGTCGTGCGTCGTCGCGTCGTCGTTGTCACGTCGTCGTCGTCGTCCGTCGTCGGCGTCTCGTCGTCGTCCCTCCTATTTCGTCGCCGTCGTCGTCGTCGTTGTCGTCGTCGTCTTCCCTCCTCCCTCGTCGTTGTCGTCGTCGGCGTCGCCGTCCTTCCTCCTTCTTCGTCGTTCGCGTCGTCGCCGTCCTCCCTCCTCCCTCGTCGTTGTCGTCGTTGTCGCCGTCGTCGTCCTCCCTCCTTCCTCGTTGTCTTCGTTGGCGACGTCGTCGTCGTCTTCGTCGTCGTCGTCGGCGTCGTTGTCGTATTCGTCGTCGTCGCCGCCGTCGTCGTCGTCGTCGCCGCCGTCGTCGTCGTCGTCGTCGTCGGCGTCGTTGACGTGGTCGTCGTCGTCGGTGTCGAAGTTATCGTCGTCGTCGGCGTCGTCATCGTCGTCGTCGTTGTCATCGTCGTCGTCGTCGGCGTCGGTGTCGTCGTCGTCGTCGTCGGTGTCGTCGTCGTCGTCGTCGTCGTTGTCGGCGTCGTCGAAGTCGCTGGAGACGTCGTCGGTGTCGTCGTAGTCGTTGTCGGCGGCGTCGTCATCGTCGTTGTCGCTGTCGTTGTCGGCGTCGCTGTTGTTGCCAAGTGCCATGTGGTACCCACCGTCACGGTCTTAAGATATTTTGCAAACCAAGTTGCGGGTGGGTGGGTGGGATGTTTGCGCGAGCAGTGGAGTGGACAACTCACTGCGAACAGAAATTAAGTGCACGACATAGCTTGTACCACGTAGCTTACATCACGTAGCTTACACTGCATAGCTTAAACCACGCAGTGTACATTCCCCGAACACTTCATGTATTTAGGGGTTTTTACTTGGCTCAACCATCTCGGGGTCAGTGGCGGCTTTTGCGGGCGGTGTCGCCCGTCGCCGCCGTCGCCCGTCGCCGTCGCCGCCGCCGCCGCTCGGGGCGAGTGGCGGCTTTTGCGGGCGGTGCCGCCCGTCGCCGCCGTCGCCGTCGCAGAGCTTGTACCACACAGATTGCACCGCATATTTTGTATTACATAGGTTGCCGCGCGTAAATTGCACCGCATAAATAAATTCTCCTTTTTAAAAACAGAATAGACTTTACCCCCCCCCCCCCGGCGTTATGCCCCCCCTTTTCGGGTATGTAAATCATATATGATTCTGACCACATGTCCATCCTAAATATGAATTTACACTATCCCAGAGGGGCCGGGATCGAACCCCCTGAGGTTCCAATGTAAAAAACGATACGCGGGGACATCTTCTGTTCTAACATAGCACTTTTCACGAATCCCTTGCAACAAAGGGGACGAAAAGCACACGCGCGCGTCGTCGCGCGCGCAGAAATCCTTCAAAAACCTTCGGTGCCGGAAGGATTGCGTCATCGAGTTTCAAAAAAACATACAAAAACACATGGTTTCGCAACACTGATTTGCTAGAAAAGCTTACGCGCGAGCTCTTGCAAGAAAACCATAGGTTTCAAGATTTTCACAGAATGCTACCAAACAGGCTTCGCGCGCGCGCATGTCGAAATCTGTCGAACGCCCTTGCGCGTGTGCCGTCGCGAGAAACCTCTGCAAAAAACGGGACGAAGTGCAGACGCGCGCGTCGTCGCGCGAGTATGCCGAAATCCTTCAAAACCCATCGGTTTCGGAAGGATTTCAAAATCGTGCGTCCAAAAAAGCTACAAAAACCACAAGGTTTCGCAACACGGATTTTCTACAAAAGCGTGCGCGCGCGCTCTTGCGTCGTCGTCGTCGTCGTCGCCTTCCTCCCTCCTCCCGCGTCGTCGTCGTCGCCTACGTCGTCCTCTGTCTTTCCTCGTGTTCGTCGTCGTCGTCGTCGTCCTCTTTGGCGTCGTGGTCGTTTCCGTCGTCGTTGTCGCCGTGGTCGTCCTTCCTCCCCCTCCCTCGTCGTCGTCGTCGTCCGTCGTCGGCGTCTCGTCGTCGTCCCTCCTATTTCGTCGCCGTCGTCGTCGTCGTCGTCGTCGTCTTCCCTCCTCCCTCGTCGTTGTCGTCGTCGGCGTCGCCGTCCTCCCTCCTTCTTCGTCGTTCGCGTCGTCGCCGTCCTCCCTCCTCCCTCGTCGTTGTCGTCGTTGTCGCCCTCGTCGTGCTCCCTCCTCGCTCGTCGTCGTCGTCTTCGTTGGCGACGTCGTCGTCGTCGTCGTCGGCGTCGGCGTCGGCGTCGTCGTCGTCGTCGTCGGCGTCGGCGTCGGCGTCGTCATCGTCGCCGCCGTCGTCGTCGTCGACGTCGTCGTCGTCGGCGTCGTCGACGTCGTCGTCGTCGGCGTCGTCGTCGTCGGCGTCGTCATCGTCGTCGTCGTCGGCGTCGGCGTCGTCGTCGTCGTCGGTGTCGTCGTCGTCGTTGTCGTCCTCGAAGTCGTCGGAGACGTCGTCGGTGTCGTCGTAGTCGTCGTCGTCGTCGTCGGCGCCGGTGTCGTTGCCAAATGCCATTTGGAACCTACCGTCACGGTCTTAAGAGGTGTTGCAAACCAAGTTGCGGGTGGGTGGGTGTGATGTTTGCAAGAGCATGAGATGTGTAACATCATGGGTAAAAACCAGTTGCACCACATAGATTGCACCACATAGATTGCACCGCATAGATTGCATTACATAGGCTGCCGCGCGTAAATTGCACCACATGGATTGCACCGCATAGATTGCATTACATAGGTTGCACTGCGTAGATTGCACCGCATGGATTGCACCGCATAGACTGCACCGCATAGATTGCGTTACATAGGTTGTATCGCATACATTGCACCACATATATTGCACTGCATAGACTGCAAGAACCTACTGTGTTGGGTTCACGCTGGCAAACATTACATAGCTTACACCACATGGCTTGCACCGCACAGCATACACCATGTAGTTTACACCTCGTAGATTGCACTGTAGAGCCTACACCACATAGCTTACATCACATAGCTTACACCGCATAGCTTCACAGCACAGCTTGCATCGCATATAGGAAACCACGTAAAAAAAACACCACACGACTTGCACAACATAGCTTGCGAGACATAGCTTACACATCCACAGTACAAGAACCGATTGTGTGGGATACGCACTGGCAATTACAGAGTTGGCAAATGCTTAAAAATGGCCTCTCGCCTTAACGCCGCGAATGTTCGTATTGAAACACTGCAGCAGATACACCGATGGAGGGTCGTCTTCAAACTAGAGCTCACTCATTAGCGCCGCGTGCATTCTCCTGGAAAGTTGCAACGGTTACACGGGTGAAAGGTGGTCCCTTTCCAAAATGGTGCTCTCGTCTCAGCGCCGCGCACAGTCATCCTAAATGGGCGCAACAGTTACAAAGTTCGAGGGCGATTCCTTTTCAACATGGTGCTCTCGCTAAAAACTTCTTCAAAGTCAAAAACACAGAGTTTAAAAATATTCAGCAGCTACACAGATGGAGGGCGGCTCTTTTTCAAAACGGAGCTTTTGCTCAAGACTTCCTCGAAAATCATAGGACCAAAATGAAATCTCGTAGATGGGGGGCGGTCCTCTTTTGAAACGGTCATATCGCTGGCTTCCTCACTGAACTGTACGAGTATACATTTTCGCATTCCTGATTTCGCGCTGGGAAGATTTGGAACAGTTCCTTTTCAAAACGGCGCCCTCGTCTGAATGGCAGAGCCACAGGGTGCTGATTTTTCAAGGCGGCGCGTTTCCTGCAGTGACAAGGGAGGCTTGTAGGGACTTCTGGGAAGGGGACTTGGGACGGGAGGGTGTATTGCAGCATCGCTGATGCATCTTGGGTTTACTCGAATTCTCCTCCTCCTCCTCCTGCTACCCCTAGACTGCCCTCCTCCTCCGCCGCAGCATCGAGCGAAACATGTGCAGGCATACCGGAAAGGGCGCGCCTCATCGACAGCGGCACGTAGGCCTTGAAGAAGTTGCGGTCCTTCACCTCTCCGCGGGCACAGGCATCCCAGAAGAGGGCCAGTTTTCTCCGATCGTCCCACTCATCCCAAGGAACAAGGAAGCCATGACGAGACCAACGAGAAGGGGGCGGTCTAGGCTTGATCAGCGGCTTTCCTTGGGGGGGGGATCCATGACCAAACTTGGGGAAGCCCCTCCTTCTTGGTCTGTTTGTGGCTTCCTGTCCCCTGAGATCCCCTACGCCTACAACTCACCACCACCACCCCTGATCGCCATGAGCATCGCGATGAGCCGCTCCAGCACAGCGCGTGTCTGCAACGCTGACGTGTCCTGCTCGCAACGCTGAGTAGCGCTGGAGGCCTCCAAAAACATGCGGAAACCACCAAGACCTCGGAAAACATACAGGCAACGACTCTCTAGAATTGTTCGAGCACAGGTCGCAACACGGGCTTCGTCGCGCAGGCATCTTCGCCCCGTCATGACCTCGGGGCGCTGCTGGAAGAAAAAAACACTAGCGATTTCCAGCGTAATGTCCGACTCCAAGACCCTTTTCCAGCCCTAACACCAGCAAACAACTACAGTCAAGCTACGGGGCCGTCAAGAAACGACTCTGGATGAAAAGCCGGTCCTCGGAAGGTGTCCAGACCTTTGGGCAACCCCGTCGAAAACAAAAACACGACAATCGAGGTCTGGGGTGGCCGAAAGTTCCAAGAAGGCGCCAAGAATCAAAACGGCCCTAGAAGGTCGTTCGACCGTGTTCCCTCGAACGATTACGGCATGCATTGCTCCTTCGATCAGTCGCCACCCACATTGTTGGGCTAGCACGGCGGCGGCGCTTGCCGCAGGCAGCTAGATACCGCGACACGTGGGTTATGCTTGAAAATATCCGTTCCCGGCCTAAGATAACCAGGCTACAATTATGGCGCTCGGGGCACGAAAATGAAAGACGTGGTGCGAAACGAATGTCACGGGTAGCCCTGCGACTAATATCTACGACTGCTGCTGCTGTTACGACTATGGCTGTTACGACTATGGCTAATACCTGCGACTGCTGCTTTAATCAGTCGTCTATTCCTACTACTACTACTACTACTACTACTACTACTACTACTACTACTACTACTACTACTACTACTGCTACTACTACTACTACTACTACTACTACTACCACTTACTACGACTACTACTACTTACTACTATACTTACTACTATACTACACTTATAATGACTACTACTACTGACTCTACTACCGCTACTACTATTAATACTTACTACTTACGACTACTACTACTACTACTACTACTACGACTACTACACTACTACGACTTACCCACTACTAAGTACGGACACCTACTACTACCAATACTGCATACTTGCTGGCTACTACTACTACTACTCACAACAAAACCACTCAAATAAAAAAAACAACTTAACACTAACATGGACAAAACAACCACTACTACTACTACTACTACTACTACTACTACTACTACTACTACTACTACTACTACTACTACTACTACTACTACTACTACTACTACTACTACTACTACTACTACTACTACTACTACTACAACTACTAATACAACTACTACTACTACTACTACTACTACTACTACTACTACTACTACTACTACTACTACTACTACTACTACTACTACTGGCGGTCTCGTGCACCACATCACCACGGCTCAACCACCTGGGGAAGAGCGTCCTTGTGGCTGCCTCATTACCAGTATGTAGCGCGCACCTCTTCTGGGTGAAAGGGCGGGTCTGACATGCTTGCAACGTCAGGCGCTCGCACCGTGGGCAGTTGGGCCAGCAGCCCAGGGTGAAGCGCCAGCAACGGCATAGCAGCACACGGGGCGACCCCAGCACCGCCACCCAGGCCGACAAGCGCGGGAAGACGCGAGGCTAGGCCTGGGTGGCAAGCCAAGGGCAGGTCTGACGTGCATGCAGCAACTGGCGCCTGGCCGAGGGCAGCTGGCCCCTACAGCAAAAAGTAAGGCGCAGGCGGCAGCATGGCAGCACACGGGGCGACCCCAGTACCGCCACCCAAGCCTACAAGCGCAAGAAGGCGCGAGATGAGGCCAGGATGGCAGGCCAAAATGGCCAGGCGCTCGACGGCGACGCTGCAGTACACGGGGCTGCCCCAGCACCGCCAGCGAGGCCAACGAGCGCAAGCGAGCGCGAGGAGGCCGAGATGGCAAGCCAGTTGGCGAGCCAAGGTGGCAGAGTGCACAGGTAGCCATTTGCCTAGCGAGGCGACGCCACGCGAGTGGGGGCGCCGCTATGGGCCCGCCGCACTACTGAAAGCAGCAAGTAGACAATTTGGCATGTACTCACGCGGCCTGTCAAGGCCCTGGAACCTGCCGGGCGTTATTCCTCAGGCCCGCTGGCCTGTTCCCTGCGCGATGGCGGCGAAGACCTGCGACGGCAGCGCCCGCGCCTCCCCGCCGAGGTCGCCACTGCCCCCCGCCTGCCCTGCGGGCCCAAAGATCTGGCGCTCGACGTCTTCGCCGAGGGCCACGTTCAGGGCTGCAGCGCTCGGGGCCCGCTGCGAGAGCACGTCCGTCTGCGGTGGCGGGTGGGTCGGCGGCGGCGGCACGTCAGGGGGCGCCGTCGGCGGCGGCGGCGGGGGGCCCATGACGGCCACGGCCACTGGCGGGACTCCCGCTGGCGGCGGTGGCGGGCCCTCGCTGCCGCGGGCCCCGCTCGCTGGCGGGGCACTGGCGTTGCGAACGGGGATGGCGCGCGGGGCGACCCCTGTGCCACCCCCGCCGCCCGAGAGGCTGCCCACTTTCAGGTTGTGGCGGCGCTCGTAGCGCGCCAATTCCCTGCGCGCCATCTCCAGGCGCTCCCTCTTGTCTTTGTTCCGCGTCTTCTTGCTGCACCCCGCCCATTCGGGGTCGTTCAGTTCCCAGGCGACCTGCGCGTAGAGGTCGGTCCACTCGAACGTGGGCAAGCTCTCCCAGGTGATCCCCATCCATCAGCACATAGTGGCCCTCCCATTGTGCCTGGTGTGGAGCATAGCACTTGAAGACGGTGCCAACCGCCATCGGCTCTGCCTTGGGCAGGTGCTGCAGAAGGTCCACCGCGTTGAGCACTGTGATCCCCTCCTTCTTGAGCTTGTCGTAGCGCAGCAGGGCCTTCAGGTCGCGGATGTCCTCCTCGGGATGCTCCGCGTGCATGTAGTACGCGCGTGGCGGCTTCGCCTCCTCCTCTATGAGCTCGACGCAGACTCCGTAGGAGGTCGAGTAGCGCGCCCCGCAATGGCAGTACCAGCGCTGGCCCGTCTCTCCCGCTGCCTCCTGGGCGCACGAGAGCAGCTGTGTCCAGCGATCCGATCGGATCACCGAACAGCACCCCCTGGGATTATCCCAGGTCTTGTTGGCCGCGCACTTGTAGTACATGTTGAACGTGAAGCCCTTGTCACGGTAAAATTGGTCCGTGTAGTCGCCCATGCGGCGGTAGGCCTCCTGCGCCGCGGTGTTACCCTGGCACTCCTCCTTCCAGGCACGTTTGTGTCCCAGGTGGGCATCTCTAATCCCCGAGGCTTCCAGTACACCCCTTTTCAGCCTTCCCACATCCTCCTCCGCCTCCTCGTCCAGCGCGTCGAGCCACTTCTGGACTCCGTCCTGCGCCTCGGTGCCCCTCACCACGTCCTCCTTCTTCTCCAGGATGGCCCCCAGGCCGCCCAGCATATGGGTGCGCATGGTCTCGAATTTGAGGATGCCATACGCTCACGCCATACGCTTCAGCGACTTCTTGGATAGGCCAAGCCGCAGCAAGGGCTCGATGTCCGTTACCTCCTTCACGGTCTAGGCCTCGGTCGGCTGGGGCCCCTGGTCCTCCGCGCCCACGTCGGGCCGGGGGTCGTTCTCCTCATCACTGGGAGGCTCATCCTCGAGGGCAGGTTGTGCGGCCAGTTCGAGCAGGGGATGCCGCCAGTGGCGAGGAGGCCGCCCCTGCCTCGTTGTTTGCTCGTTTGCTTTGTGACGCGGCGGGGGGCAGACAGGGGCGTGAGAGACCGCTTCCTGTGCTGCGCCAGCCGCACGCTCCGGGGCACAACCGGGTGACTACTACTACTACTACTACTACTACTACTACTACTACTACTACTACTACTACTACTACTACTACTACTACTACTTACTACTTACAACTTACTACTACTACTACTACTACTACTACTACTACTACTACTACTACTACTACTACTACTACTACTACTACTACTACTACTACTACTACTACTACTACTACTACTACTACTACTACTACTACTACTACCACCATGTAAGGCCCCTCACGGGGGTAGAAACCTATTGGACCAAGTGTATTTGCTGGGGCGTCACGCTGTCACCCTGCTCATCCGTTCCTCATCATGCTCGTCCTCCTCCTCATCCTTCTCCTCGTCCTCCTCCTCCTCCTTTGGTTTGTCCTCCTCCTCCTCCTCCACGTCCTCCTCCTCCTCCGCCTCCCCCTCCTTATCTCGGGCGTGATGGACTATGGGACCTCATGGAGTTTCCTGGTGATCCCGGGGGCCTCCTGGGATAGCAGCCTCTGGGGACTTCCTGCGGCCTCTTGAAACCTCCTGGGCTCTCCTTGGGTATCCTCAGCCCTCCAGGGGCGTCCGCAGCGTTCTGGAACTTTTGGGTCATTCAGGATACGCCCGGAGCGTGATGGGACCTCCTGGGGCCTTGTGGGACCTCGCAGGGCATCCTGGGACCTCCTGGAGCGTCCTGGAGCCTCCTTAGGATTCCCACGGCCTCCGGGGACGTCCTGAAGCCTCCTGGAGCTTCCTGATGCCTCCTGAGACCTCCTGGGGCCTCTTGGCGGCTCTCTAAAAAGCCACGCGCGGGGCCTCAAAATTGGCGACAGTTTCAAAGATGGGAGCATTCCCATTGAGAAAGAGGGCGCGGTGGACGTTGAAAAATGACGACAGTTACACACTTGAGGACCAAAACCGTGCTGGGCGCCCCCCCCCGCCATTCCCGGTCCTGCATAGTACGGTGCGATTTGCCC